CTAGGGAAAAGAGAGTGAAGAGAAGGAGCTGTGGCTCCCGGGATGCTGCTGGCAGGGGAGTTATTCCTGGCCTCCGCCTTTGGACTGTGTCCTTCTCCAAAAACGCAACTACGCAACAGTGCCCATCAGATTGCAACCCTGGAGTCCAAATGCAGCTCATCTCCTTCTTTCCCGTTTTTCAGGTGCAAGTTTAAAAGTTTCTAAAAGCAAAAACAACAAACCAAAACAACAACAAAAACAAACCAAACAAACAACCCCCAACCTCCAAATTAGAAAGTCAAAAGACTCTTGTTCTCTCAGGGCAATGCATTCCTGATAAGTGCTGGGAGGCCAGAAATGGAAACAAATGAAAACTGAAATATGTCAATTTAAGTTGTAAATGTAGCATCCTGTTAGTTTCAATATTTCCAAATAATTGTCAGTGGAGTGCTGTGAAGTTAACCTAGCAAAAGGACAAAACGTTTGGCAAGCGTCGAATTTTGACTCTTCTGTTGAGGACTTTATGGCTCCAAAAACAGCTGAAATGGAGCCCTGGCTAGAACCCAGCTTGGATTGTCTGTGGTTATAGCAAGCAGAAATGGTCATCCATAGCAAATACTTGGCAGTCTTTCTGGAAGGTTTTTTTTCTTCTCAGTGGACCAAAATGTGTATCACAAAGTTTTCCTTATTACAAAAAACTAATAAAATTGATCCAAATAGTGTTTTTATTATTCTTATGATATTATTCTTCTTGATACTTGTCTCATATTTATAGAGGAGGTATGACTGTTGCTTGGATGGAGATTATTATAATATAGTTCAAATGCTAGCTCTTCGATAAGGCTGTACCCCAAAAGAATAATAAAAACAACCTGGAAACCCTAAAGAGAAGGAGAGGCTTCATAAGAAGGAAAAGTGGCTCATGAAAATAAACCATATTTTTCCAGTGGTTTACTACAATTGTCATCACTAACAAGTGTTTTTATTTTTAGTACGTTGTGGTGAGTGTTCTGTAGCTATTTTATGCAATAGCGATTTAGAGTAGGGATGAACATAAGCCAACATATTGCATCCAGTCTTTTTTTTTTCCTGGAGCTGGAGCTATACAAAAGGCATTCGGTTTTTTCCTGACACGTGCCTGTTACTCCCATTACATTAATGCGAGTTGCATGGGTACTAGGAAAAGAACTTACTTCAAAGGCCTGCTCATCTGATTGTGAACACAAATGATTTATTGCCCCTGTGAATGACAAGGAGTCTTGGAAAGTATTGCGCTTCTTTATGTCATTTTCTGGCTTGGAGTCATACGTCTATTCGCTTGAATTACAAAAGATGTGAGAATTCATCTGTTTTATTTTCTGTTAAAAATCACCTGGCTTTAAACAAGAGGAAGAAGCAGCTATGATGTGGTGAATTCCTTCAACAGATACAAAGCAATAGACCCCAATTCATCCACTTATATAAATGCAGTATTGATACGACAATCATTTTAAATAGCTATGCCCCTTACTCAACAATAGAGCACTTAGAGATGTGCTTAAATCTATCAATAGTCAACAAATCATATGAGAGTAAACCTAAAAGTAATGCCTGTGATTAAATCTCACTAAGTAAATAGGCTTTGAGCAAAGTGCTTACTGTTGAATGCTTTGCTGAACGGGGGTGGATTTCATTAAATGTCACCTCTTCATTATTAGACTGGCATTTTATAAGCTCGTAACAACTTTCTTTTAAAGTTCTCTTATAAAATACCAGTTCAGTGTGGGAAGCATTAGAGTACAGCTCCCACTGAAAATCTCCAAACACACTGAATTCAGATCACATTTACTGTGCTCTCTTTGGAATTTTTTTTTTTCTTCTGCAGAAGAGAAGTTGGAGGTTTTCTAGAAAAAAAGGAAATAGTTTTTTAAAGCTTCATTTTCTGGTTGATTGAATTTCACGTTGTAGTTGCCTGTACCCTGTTTTTGCACAGCAAATAATACAAAAACAGTTAAAGTAACTTTTTCCTTTTTGGGGGCAGGGGGCAACACAGATGTAAACTTCTGTTTTGTTCATGTTTTGTTTTCTTTACTTCTCTTTCCAGTAATGTTGAATGTATAAAACTCTTGCAAAGCAGTGGAGCAGATTTTAATAAGAAGGACAAATGTGGGAGGTAGGTAAATTATGAAGCTCGTTTAAAAAAGAAAAAATAAAGAATCTAGCAGGCAAGGAAGAAAGACCACCTCAGTCTGGAAATCATAGGTTCTATGAAAAATGACAGTAAAATAAAGTAGGAGTTTGGCCTTCCCTGCAGAACTCTTGCTGCTGTAGTTATATGCCAGACAGACAGGTGCAGACTTCATGAAATACATAAAAGCCATCCCACCCTCCTGAGTTTTCTGTTTTAAAAATATCACACGGTTTTTTTTTTTCCCTTATTGCTTCTCTTATTGCCCATATTCTTGTGCTTGTCTGCCCAAGACAACACCTGGGTTATGATGGGAGGATTGCTGCTATTTGACGTGTTTCCTGGAGGCTTTTTCTCCCCATGTGAAGTGTTGCTATGAGTGTTGCTATGCCAGCTAAATAAGATGCTGTGAGGGACACCGTGCTTTGCTCTGCCTCCCAGCTGGAAGAAAGTAGCATGTATGCAGAGCAACAGCAGAGGCTGCCACTGGGAATAGGTCATTTGCAAGACACAGGTTGAGGATCTGTATCCTATTAGGCTTCGTAGGAGCACCAAAACTTCCTATTAACACAATATTTTGTTAAATTTGCATAACTTTGCATTTCACCACAGGAACATAAGGCACTGATGTTAACTGCTGGAAATCTGTACGAATGCAGCAATTAAGATTTGTCATTATCCTCGGTGGTGCATATTGGAATATGAGCTAACAAACTGTCGCTTATGTTCCAGGACACCGTTGCACTATGCAGCTGCAAATTGTCATTTCCACTGTATTGAGACACTGGTGACAACAGGAGCCAATATTAATGAAACAGATGACTGGGGACGCACCCCTTTGCACTATGCTGCTGCTTCTGACATGGACCAAAAGTAAGAAGGCCTCTTTGTATTCCTTGTTTAAAGTGTTTTGCTAAATCAGTGTCATTCTATTCTCTTCATGATGCTATGTCATTTGAGCCAAAAAAATGATCCCGCTAGCAAAGGAATTTCTCTCGGATGTCTGCATAACTCTACACTGAGTTGCTCTGACTGTAAGCCATCCCCAGATGATGTGGCATTTCAGCTCTACGGTTTACCTTTGATGTATCGCACAGTTTTGCAGCCACCCTGTCCTACTGAACTATTTTCACAACATTTTGTCTTATGTTTTCCTCTGTGTGGTTTCCTCACAAGAGTAAGCTCAGAGAATTTTCTACATCTGCTTTGCAAGTCCATCAGAAGGGATGGAGCGGGAGACAGCAGGAGAGGTTTTCCCAGATGGACAGCTGTGACAGACAAATATCTGGCCATTCTGACAGACTTTCTGGAAAAGATGGGATAGATCTACCCATCAGGCGCTCTCCATTGTCAGAGCTGATAAAAATGCTCACCCTGTCCAAACAGGTTGCTTTTTAGAGACTTTAAAAAGAGAGAGGCCTGGGGAATATCCTTTGGCAGAATGCAGTGCTGTTCTTGTGAGAAAGGGGGAAAACAGCTGCAACACTTAGAAATCCTGTGGTTAGTGACTGCAATTTCTGATTTCCAGATAGTTGCATGTTTTGGCAATCTCTTCCTTATAACGTACTGTGTAAAACAGGCTCAACTATACTGTTAGTTCTCTCTCAAAACTGTTAGCGACCTGTATTTATTTTAGGTCATCCCATGCTTCTCTGTCTCATTCCTTTAGACACTAAGGAGCTATTTTCTTGGTTTCTCATATAGTGAGGTCTGGTAAAAATACATCTGGCTCATTCCCAGCAGAATACCACCTCAAAGCCACTGCAGGAAAACTTCAGCTTAACTTTATGGTAGAGGTTTGGATGCCATACCAGAGCCTTGGTAGCTTCTTCACCATTTGCTGTGGTAATACTGATATAAAAAATGTCTTCCCTATCACCCTCAAACCTGAACAGTGCTGGGAAGAAGGCAGCAGGATCTTCAAAGGTCTGTGCTTGGCATTACAATCAGAGTAGGCTTGTAGGAAGGTTTTCACCACTGGCTGTTTCTAATTCTGTCTTGCCAGGGTGAGTTGTTACTCAGGGTGTTGAGACTTTTGATTCCGTGTGTTTTTCAGCTTTTGGCTCTTTGTAGGTGAAGTTCCTGCATTTAAACAACTAAAGGATGTATCTACTTCCATCACTAATGAAAAAAAAAAAAAGCTTACTTTAGTCACATCCTGAACATTAGCAGGAATATGTGGCCTTTATTTGCCCTCGTAGTCCAAACCTAAATTGATTCTGATGTGGTGATGCTGTCTTCTCATTAAGTTTTCCAGTTTGAGATGTTCTGGAAGAAGCTTTGTTACATAGATGAAATGCTATTTGCAGTCTGTGATTTTATAGGTCAGCATATTTTTTTTCCTGCTGTTTTTTTGCCTGCTGAATGGCAAAAAACTCCCAAGGTCAGGCAATCTCAGTCCAAAGAATATTCGTAATTATTTAACTTTGGATGTGGGCAGCTAATGAGCAGGGAGAAGTCTTGGTGCAGCAAGGTTGCCCCACTGTTTCAGCTATTTTGGTAATTGTTGTTGCTTATGGTCTTCAGAAAGTACCCTTTCCTGCAATGGAAATCACAGCAGCATTTTCATTAAACAGATGATTGCAGTTTCCGAGTATGTACTGTTTCTCCAGATCATCACTTACTCTGTTCAGGGAATCTTATTTTGGGATCTCACTGATTTGTAGTTAACTGAAAGCAGATGCAGGTAGGACTTCAGCATAGTACATGAGTACCGTCTATAAGCTCACAACGTTAATATTCAGGAGAGTTATTTTATTAATAATGAAGTTTTCTCTGAGTCAGGGACATCAGACAGACCCTGGGTTTGTAGAACAATCCATTATTGTTAGCACCCACAGGAAGAATGTCAAATCTTGATACTACAAATGGGAAATTGCATATTAAAGAAAGGATGTACTGTTCTGCATTGTGCAGGATCCAGTCTGAAATTTGTGTGTTATATTGGGATTGAAATTAGCAAGCTGTCCTTCTACAAACCTTTCAAGCTACTAATCTGTGATGATAGCAGTTTGTAGATGTATTTTGTGTTAGCCTTGGTGGCCAAGAAAGATCATAATCACGAGCTCATGATTGTAAGGTCACAAATCATAGTCTTCTGTCTGCCATCCACCCAGCTGAGAAGCAGAGGTGCCAAAAATGATCCGAGTGGGCAGGAATATGAAGGCATGTTGAGCTCTTTGAAGAATCTAAAGAATCCGACTGAAAGATCTACACAGTGTTGCCAAGATACTTCACAGAAAGCGAGGAGAGTCAGCAACATAGCTAATGCAGATTCAAGATAGACGGATTTAGTATCAGTGACTAAAGTTTCTCTAAACCCTAAATGCTAGAGAAGAACTAGCAGGTTACTGTAGGAAGAAGCAAGCTGTGGTAATCCTGAGTTCCTCTCTGCAAAGGAAACAAAATGCACAACACTGCTGTGGGAAAAATGGAGGGATTCTAGAAAGAGATGATCAAACTGTTTCTGATAGAAACCAGAATTTTCTGTTGGGTTTTTTTTTTTTTTTTTTCTGGTATTGACTTGCAGGACAATAAACTACCATGTTGTAGTTGTCTCCATAGCTTGCAAAACTTATTAGCTGCAGACCCATGCAGTACACTCATTTAACTTGTATAATTCTTATTGCTGGCTGGAGGAGGTCAACTCCTTGAAGAGGAGATTGGGGATGGGTGGCAGACTGTGTCAAAATCACTGGTATGATATTTTGAAAATAAGTTGCATTTTTCTGTCCTCTGTGCTAAGAAGAAAGAATATTTTAGGTAACTCCCATGAAAATGCTGAAGAACTTGAAAGAGCCAGTGAGATGAAGGAAAAAGAAGCTGCATTGTAAGTTTGGTGTCAATAAAGCAGTTAGACTCCATTTCTGGAGAATGCCACTGCTTTGGGCTGCAGTTTACACTCTGCTTTTGCTCATTCATTGCTCTGCTAAACACAAGCTAAGCTAATGCTTAGCTTTAATGAGGGCTCACCTAAAGAAAAAAAGCTCTATGCTCCTCTCTGTGCACATATACCCTAATATTTCTGTTTCTGTGCTTGTTGCTGTTTCTTAATTGAAAATGTACTGCTTCAGTAATTTAATAATTCTTTAGTATCATGCACTGACTTATTTTAGCGCTTTGCACTGAGTATGTATGTTGCAAAAAGAAGTAGCCAATGGCTTCCTCAATGTATTTACTTGGATTGACATTTTCATCTAGCTGCTTAATGATTTTTTTTGTTTTAAAAATCCCCTTTTTCATATGACAGCCTTACATTCACTACAAATTACAAGCTATGGAAGGAAGTACTAATAACAAAATGATGATTCCTTGATGGTATAAGAAAAAGTGGCAGGAGCTATAAAGAGCATAAGGGATCCTTTGAAAAACACATGATTTAAAAAAAAAAAAGGCCAACAAAGAAGAAAATATATTTATGTACGTACATGCCAGGAAATTAACTCAGTTAAGTCTTTATTTTTCAGCTTGCCATAGTGCGTGTTTGGAGGCCAGTGGTTTGATCTATGAGTTTTTATGTACAGCGGTAGCAAATCTAGGCTGTTTACATCATGGTACAGAGTTGGTGTAGTTTTCTTTCAGGCTTTGTAATAGAAAATCATTTTGTAATCTAGAGTAGCCATAAAGTTGGGTTGAAGACTGTTTTTTATGAAGATCTTCAAAGATGAGTGGGGATTTGCTCTTTTAAAAAATGGTGAATGTGGGGAGCTATTGGTGAAAAGAGGGAAGCTTGTAAGTGATTTGAGGTGCTGCTAGAAATACAGAATTAACTGCCAATTTTCAATGCCACTCCTAGTTGCAGTGAGGAATAAGTCTGTTAAATATTGTGAGCTCTCATTTAAATGAGTGAATTGTCCACAGGTGTCTAGAGTTCCTTCTACAAAATGATGCCAATCCATCCATCCAAGACAAAGAGGGGTACAACACTGTGCATTATGCTGCTGCATATGGGCACCGACAGTGTTTGGAACTGGTGAGTGCTCAGACAGTTCAGAAGTCTCTTATCTGCTGATTTATATATGTGTATATGCCAGTATTATGAACTCCCCTGATAGTTACTATTTCAGTTCCTTGGATATTTACAATTCTGTGAAAACCTGCAGTAAGGTGCAGTAAACTCAAATATATGCAACCAGATGTATCTTAAAACCATGTTAATCTTGATAATTCCGTCCTTGTTCAACAAGCTGGTGCTTAAATGTTGTCTTTGAGTGGAGTTTATGTGTGCTCAAATTATTTCTAATTGTTATCAAAATATTCCTAGTGTATGTGCCAGTAGTAAGGGATAGTTCCCAGTGCATGATGGCGTATGTGCCTTCTGCAGCTGGCACATTATCTGACTTGCAAACTGGGAGAGTAAATAGCTTTTGTCAGCTGCATACCTGCAGTGCCTTTTTGCCTCTGGTGAAACAATAGCAGCATTGATAAAGTTACCATCATCAAGATTAACCTTGTATGCAATGTAACTGGGCTTTTTTTGTTGTTGGACCCGAATGATTAGAAATTGCATCTCATAAGGAGCCAAAAATTTTTAGCCAAAAATTGGATTTGGGAGAGGTATAGTATGGATTTATAGAAGTTTGTGACTTGTAAAGTAAGTGTCATGAAGATGGGCATTAACTGAACTGCTTGATGTACAGGGTGATCCAAAATTATGGTGTCACATATAAATAGGCTTTAATTGCTTTAAAAAAAGCTCTAATTAGAAAATTGTATGGATATTCATGCTTTAGTAAGAACACTGTGTGCTGTTTAGTGTTTTATGTTGTTTGGTTCTTTCTTTCTTTGTTGAAGAGTCAAAGTACTTAATTATTGAAAAGGAGCTCTGCACAGCGCGTGCCACTTTCACACCACATTTACCAGCACTGTCAGTTACTGCCACCACAGGAGAAATACTGCAGCTGACCTACATCAAGGTCACAACAGCTAGGAAGCCTTGACCTGTAGTTACGCCAGGGCAGCCCTGGGTCAGAGTCTCAGGTGGGATCTTAAGCCTTTTTAGCTCCCACCTGCAAGCATGTATATTTAGGACACTTAAAATATCACTGCTCCTTTGTTGCTTGTGGCAGCAAGTTTGACCTTTACTTGTTTAGAGCCTTTTCCTAGAGCTGATCTCTTGTGACTCTGCCTACGGGGATGGAGGGGTCCTCTGCTGAGCCTGCCGCCCATTTGGAACAAAAGCCGATGTTCTTCGTATTTGTAGGGTGCATATAGAGAGTAGCCTCCTCTGTGCTGTGTACAAGCCTATGCTTGTATGGCCACAGCAATGTGTATTGCAACTTTACTTGTGTCTTATCACCAGATTCTTGCATGACTTGCATGAGCAGAGATCTTCTATAACAGCACCTTCACTGGGGAATTCTCTTTCAGCCTTCATATCACAGTTCCTGTGTGCCGCGAGGCACGGAGCAGGCACGGAGCAAGGTCCCCTCTCTTTTCTTTTGCTTGTTGCTGTGCACGTTTTCTGGCAACCTATCAGTTGCAGACAATGACCTGCTATCAAGCCCCAGTGTTGCTTAGGCTTGCCAGACAAAAGGAATAGCTGGAAATGCAGTGCATATCAGAGGTCTTGGGTTTTCTTTTAATATTGGAGGGTGAAATGCAAACTGTGGGCTAGAGACAGCTGTGCAGCAAGTGTTCTATATTTGGACAGAGAAATTCAATGTTTTTCCATGTCAGTCTTCCCATATTTGTGACTATAGCTGCCGTATAGAAACCCAAGGTCAAGTATAATTTGTAAAGTTATAGTCATACAGCTGTTCTGTGTACACCGGTGAAAGAAAACTGCTATGAATTTTAGCCTTTTGCATGCAAAGGGCCACTATTGTGTACTAGGTTGTCTACCTTAAAGTTTTGAGGGACCAGGATTTTGCCATTGGTGTTCAGAGGTTGACAGGCATCTCATTTTCTCTCTGGAATACAAAAGCTAAATGTACCAGAAAGCATTTGTGCTCCATCAACAGTAGGACCAGGACTTGTCATCTTTGCACCTGCTGTCAGAAGAAGGTGATTCTGTTTTGTTCATGTGAGCAGTTGTCCCTTAGCTCTAGTGAGTTACCGAGTCCTGAGTTTAATAACTTTATATTTTATAAGAGTGACTAACTAACTGATACAGGCACCACAGCTACACTGATTGTTTTGCATTGCTTGAATTCAGGATGACAAAAGGGTCAGGACCAAAGTCTTGAGTAGCTGAAAGGTAATTCTGCCGTGGGCATGAAATGGAAATAATCATCGTGCCCAGGTTTATTCACTTATTCCAACATGAGACTCTCAGGTGTTAAGATAATTGTTGATTCCTGTGCTTCATCTGATAAAGTAGTGTCATCTATAGACAATGCTATCCTGTAATGCAATCAAATTGTTTTTGACAGAGTTATGCTTATCTATGGCTACTTGAAGGCTGTGTGTAAAAGCTGCAATAAGAATTCATCTGGTGCAGATGGAAAGGAGCCTCACTGTCTTGTAAGGCTCACTGGTGGCTTGGTCACAGTTTGTTGTGCTCTCTGTGGTGGCCCTATGACAAGGACTTTGTCATGAACCATGACCTTTATTTCTGGTAGCTATTAACCACAGTACATTGATTGCTCTAGTTATTCATAGTTAAATGAAGCATCCACTAAGGTTTAATTGTTTCTAGGCATGACTTTTATCTAGAGGCCCCTTCTTTTCCACGTAGAAGAGAGAACAGTAAGTCATCAAATGCCATCTTAGTCCTCAAGCCTGCTGTTTATCAGTTTTGAAAACTAAACCAATGGAGATCCAGGAAACTGGCAATGCTATTTGCCTCGTTTCTCTCTCTTGAGCTGCACCGGGCTCTCCTCAGTAATGGTGGAGGCAGCTGATGGTTCCAGTTAACGCTGCAGGTTGACTTGGTGGGTTAGTGTGTAGAGTAGGTGCGTGAGGACAACTGGTTATGTCTGAGGAGTTCTTGGCTGTTTTGTTGCTGTATCTTGGAAATACATTTTTCTTGTTTTTCTTGCCTTCAGTGCTAATGAAAAGGAAAATAAGATTTGCAATATTTTTAGTTGCTCTTACTCAAGGAACAGTGGGAGCCCAGCAGCCCTAATTCCAATGTAAATATGTCTGTAGATAGGCAGGGAGACTTTTTTATTTTGGTTTCACATGTGCAATAACAGCGATAAATTGATGTCTTTCTTAAAAGTGCTAACTTCAAACCACTAATTTATATCACAGGAACTCTGACATGCAGAATACTCCTAAAATATTTCCAATCCCTTCCATCCTGAAGAAGAGATTTTCAGGCAGGATTATTGAAATAACAACATTATTTTTCAGTGCCAAATTAGCTCTTATTTTAGTGTTTCATCCCTTGGATAAATATTTTTGGTTTACTATTGATAGCTCATAGATGAAAATATCTAGGAATTATCTTCCCTAGAACAAGACAGTTCTTTATGGGCATAAAACTGTTAGAGGAAAGAGTACATATAAAATATGAAGCTTTAATTCTGATCAAAACTAAGGCAAAGTGAGTGCAAAAATGAGCTTGAGTTTATGAATAATGGTTACTAGTATTTCTCTACATGCACAATATCGAACTTCGGCAAAATGTTAGGGAATTATTTCAGTGTTCCAGAATATGTCAAGTTTATAAAAGACCTTGTAAGAGTAACTTTTTCTTCCCCTCTCCCCCCTGGTTTTTAGAACAGATATCTAAAATAGCTTATTTCTAAATAAATAGTCACTTAAAGAAAAAAGTCTGAAGAAGATGATGCAGTATCTAATGGAGTTTCCTTCGCTGAGGGATCTGATCTGTGCTTTAAGCACCATAGCTTCTCAGCATTACAAAATATTTACACGTTTGAGCACAGTTTAGGAAAGGCAGGTTTATGTACGAAAATATATTTTCATGTTTTGACTTTTGTGTTTACTGTGAGCCCAATACCTTGGCCGGAATTTAGCTACATTTCTTTGTGGAGAGCGGAGAGGTATTAGGAGAAATAAGGATTAAGAGTGAAAAGGTCATATCCTCTGACCCGAACAAATAAAATTTGTGTTTGTGTGTTCAACCACAGAGCTCAATGACAGAAGCTTTTTTCCTGGAGGACCTTTAGGTTGTCTGGGATATTAGTGGGGTAGTTGCCCTGCAATGAATGACGTGATGTTGCTAAAAAGAGAAGAGTGGAAGCAGACTCTTGAATTCTTTCTCCATCTGTAAGGAGCCATTCATAAAGGCTGAATGGTGGGCACATGTGCTCACAAGCAACTGAAACTCCCATCTGCTTTCCTACTTCTAAAAATAACCTCATGTTTGTTTAGATTGGGACTGACTTCTTTCGTGTTAGGTAGTCAGGGATATCGGTCACGGTCACTAGCTGGTATTTTAGAGCTGATCGCATCACCAAACTACTTTGGAAAAAAGAAAAATATGGTGGTTTTTTCATTGAAATGATATCACAAAATCCTTATTGGTTGTGAAAAGAGTAAAATGTAAATTGTAATTTCACATTAAAATTCTCTCTGGCGAGGCAGTCAAGCACTTTGTGCTGGTAAAAATAGGTTTCTGTGCAGTGTTAGGGCAAACAGAATTAAATGCGTGTCTCCTGTAGTGAAATCTCTTCTCTGACTGTAAGAATTGATGGTTATTTTTTCTTTTAATCTGTTCTTCTCTTTATTCCATGAGCAAATGAAATTCCCTCTTTGGCTAATAGAAATTGAATCGGCACAGGGGCTAATTCATTTGAGGATGGGAGGAGAGCATGGTTTAACCGAAAACCGTGTCCAAAAGAGAAGGCAAATCTCAGTCTGTCTGCCTGCCTGGAGCGAGGTGATCCGCACAGCTGTCTGTGTCAGGGAGAAGGGGCAGAGGGAGATTTCCCACTAGCAGAAGGCCGTCTTGGCTGTGCCGTGAAAGGAGAGGCTGGGTTTGAAGAGAAAGAAATCACCTTTTATTAGACCTGCTGTTACCACTGGAAAATAGTTAAGCCGCACCTTCAAACACTTGGTTCCTTAACCCATGGAGAAATTGAAGTCACATACCCTATAAATCTTTGATGTGGCTGCTACCAACTATGTATCTCTCTTATCAACAAGAATTTGTTCATTCATCCATCTAAGAGCAGGACAGTGGTAATTAGTGACAAATGAATCTCAAGTGTGGTTGGGGTAGGTGTTAAAAAGCCTTTTGCCACATGGGGATCTGGCTTGGATGCTTGTCCAGCGGCAACCCCTAGGCCACCTCCTGGCCCGAATCTCTTCATTCAGGGGATACATTCTGGGTTTTCTCCTTCATGAATGCCTGTCCGTCTCCAGGACCAACACCCTCTTTCTTAAAGGGAACGTTCTGTCAGAAACCAGTGGTGATAGTGTTTCGTGTGGTGAATGACTTCGTACCTATGTCTATGAGAGCTTTTCCCATGTGGAAGCTCCTTTGTCAGTGGAGGAAGCTCAAAGTCATTAACTCGAGTGGCTCTCGGGCTTCTAAGGAAAAGAACTTAGAAACTTAATGCTTGAAAATAACTTTAATAAACCCAATTTGTCTGTCAGTCCTAGAATCACCCAAATAATGGTAGATTGATTCAATTACCATCACAGCTGATCATCAGGTGTGATGTCAGCATTAGTGACGTCAGCATTACTGTCATTACATGTCATTTGTGATGTCAGCATTAGTGCAGTATGTACCCACTGGTTAAATGATCAATAGGCGCCTATATACGCTAGATATGCTAGTATATTCTGGCTTAGATTTTATGTTTTGGAAACTAGATAATTTTAATCCTAAAAATGTTTTCTGGAAAGCTAATGCTGCTTGTGAACTCCATGAGTGCAGGAATTTACCATTTTCTTTGGCACCCTGCTGGTACGTTGGCTTGTAGGATAGGAGTATTGTCTAGCGTCTCTGAGGTTTATTTTCTGTCTCTCTGACAGATTTTGTCTTTTTTAGTTTATATTTTTATTTTCCTGGGGTGGAGAAGCGAGGCACTTAGATCTGCTGTCTTCTGACAGAGAATAACAAGGCCGTTGCAGAACTGCAGGAGACATTTTTCCTTCAGTTTGGAAAGAGGTCGTGGACTTCTGCCGTTGCCTTAAATACCTGTCTGTGAGCGTGTATCTGTGTGTGGTGTTTAAATGTAAATGTGTGAAGAATATCTGACTCCCTCAAATCTACTGAATCCAATGAAAAGGGCCTTTGATCATGGTATATAGCATTGCATTAGACTGTATAGCTCAGAAAGAGCTGTGGGCGCTGGGTGGGATGTTGGGGGTGTAATCAGGCGTATTTATATAAGGCAAGATGGTTGCCTGCATGAGCAGACTTTCAAAAAGAAACTATCACTGATTTATTGGTATTTGTAGGCTTACAAAGCAATCTAACTTCATTAGGCAGTCTCCCACAGTGTGTGGATTTTGTACCTGTATATCTGTATTTTGTCAATTGAGTAGATTGATCTTAAACATTCTCATCGAACATTATTTTCCTCTTTCCCCTCTTCCCTTATGAAGTAATGCAACTGGTATCTGTTCACAGTGGCTGTCTGAGAGTAGGCAGTAGGCCATTGCTTCGGGAGTATTTCATCTGTAGGTGGACAGTGTAAAGATTGGTGCACGCAGGATCAGGTCTTCCTTTGTGATTCTGTTCATGCAGCACTTGCAATGCAGTTTATTCTACAGGAAAAACAAAACAAAAACCCCAGAAACACTTGCAGATTACAATTATACTTGAATATTTATGTCTTTAATTATTCTAATTGACCTTTTTAATTAGATTGGAAGCAAAACTCCATTGGATATAGTGAGTAAATGAAAAATGATCGCATGTTGTGTATTTTCATTTTTATTTAAACTTCTTATAGTATTTTGCAAATCCTTGTATTCACTCTGATAAAGCCTGAAGAAGAAGAATCACAACTCTTATCTAGCATGCCACGTACTTCAAGCCACTGCATGTGTGCTGCTTTTGTTTCCATTGGATTTCCTTCTTGCTGTTGCTTACAGGCTCAAGCTTTGCTAGAAAGTCTGTTGCTTTTCCTCAGTCAGTCTTAGGAGCTGTGAGTCAAGTGCACGTACCTGACTGGCATGACACTTTTCTGGATGTTTTGCATTTGGTAATGTGAAATGGAACCAACGCTTGTCTGTTTTCTGGAAGTTTGTGGCCAATTTCAAAGTGGTTCGGAGAAGAAATGTAAATTACATGTCTTCAAGTGAGTCTGAATTTAAAAAGCACTTGTGCGTATTTCACAGTAGAGGCACAAATGAGAGGAGAGTAGCAAAAATACCATTGAAATGCACATTTTTAAAATTGACTGTCACTGTATTTCACCAGTGCTCAAATTTTCTAGCTAAAGAGAAATTTTTTTAAGGATAATAATTTCTCTAAATAAAAGCCTTCCTATACCTTTTACACAAGTGTATGAAATTTTGCAAAACTTTCCCTGGGTAAGAGGGTCCTTAAACCAAAGTATGAGGCTTTACAGAACCTCTGAGGTAGAATTTCTCGCCAGAAAGAAACATGATAAACATGATTCGAGTGTGAAAGTTCCATGTTCACATCTCTGCCCTGACTGACAAAGAAATTGGACTTCTACATCCCGGGAAGTGACCAACATGTTATGCTGGCTGGTACTGGGTAGGATCTCCTGCTCTCGTTTGGAGCTGTCCCGCTTCGTATATTCATTGGGTGAGAATCTCCTGTATAACCCACTGAATATGGCACTCATATGGCTTAACATGAAACGATTTTGTGTGAAGTGGAGGAGCTCCAACAGAAGATTAGTGTCCCACGTGAGAACAGCCAGTGGCCTGGAGGTCTGCTTGAATTTAGATATGTTTAAGGACTTAAACGTTGTTCTTTTATATGCCAGGTAAGTGGCATATTTATTGGATGTTTACACTTTGTACTGGAAGAGCTGCATGGAACTACTAATAAATTTCTTCAGACTCAGTCTACTCAAGCTCTTGCAAAACTTCTTGCTTATGTTATTTTAACTTCACCCATGATCTATGCACGTGAGCGAAATTGATGTAAACACTGATTAATCTGATTTTTAAAGCCTGATTTTAGGAAAACATATCAGACTGTGGGTTAAGGATATGTATGGGTTTTAACCTGGTCAAATTAAAATAATTTGATCATTTGTAGTTACAAATATGGAGAGAGCTTACAGGATTGCTTGTCCCCCCTGAGGGTATGTTTGTACCACTTCACCTTTCAATTACTCAATCAAGAATAATTCTGAGATTTAAAAATGTGCTTCCCTGCTATAAAGTAGTACAGAAGTTAATTCTATTACTCTGTTCTATCTCATCTGACACAACTGATGAGAGTCTTCAATCTTCCGCTTGCTACTTGCTGGAAAAGCCTTTATTTAAAAGAAGCTGCTGCTGGTATGTTTTCCCCCAGCAGAGACAATTATCTATTGCAATTTATCAGGAAAGATGAGATTCCAAGTGACATCCTAGCTGATATTTTTATTCAGTTCTGAAAGTGACATTAAAAATTGTTACTAATTGCCACTTCTGAATGACCTTGTAAGTGATAAGCTACACTGCAATGGAATTATTGCAGAAGAGCAATGTTCAACTACTTCTTTTGTCTTAATTGCCTTCTGATCAGCTCTTCGCGTGTGTGACAATTTCTGAACGCCGTTTGCTTAATAACCTTTCAGAGTAAAGGCCATTTATAGGTTATACACATGTAATCTAATGTTTTGCCATTTTATGATTAGTATTAATAGCACCAAACTGAAGAAGTTCATTAACAGTGCTGGAAGTATGCGTGTTGGAATGTGGAAGTTGCCTTACTCACTACAATAGTAAAACTCTCAAAGAAAAGTCACTTTAACTTCAGTGGTAGTTAGATCAAACCTTTAATATAACTACCAGCAGTGCACTTAAATGGCTGTGCCTGGAGGTGTGGGTGCGTGATGGCTTGTACAGAATCACGCGTTCTGTTCTCTTACAGCATTTGAGATAGCACCCATCGTTACAGTGTCTACGGTTTGAAGTTGCTTCTGACTCTTCCTTTTAAAAGTGTAGCTTAAACCTTTTATGCATGGTTAAAGTATTATCTCCTTTTCTGCCTAATGATAATTTTAAATTACTGAGATGCTCCATGAAGCTTTTTTTTTTTTTAACCAGAGCTGAATTTTAGAATATATTACAGTCTATAAGGACAATCATAAGATCTACCCTGACTCATTACCTGGCACATCTGACTCAAAAAAAAAAATGGAGGGGGGAAAACTCCCCATACCATATCCTGCCATATAATCCTTTATTATAACCACAGAATAAAATCAAGCAGTAAAGCCTCTTATGTCTGTAAATACCCTTACCGTACAAATAAAATAAAATTGTGAGAACTGTAAATGTTATTAATCTTCATACAGAGCTGGGGAGAGAAGACAGTTTCTAATAGCAGCCTTGTAGCGCTATTAGTTTGTAACAATAGAACTGAATAATTGACATGTTTTATCTTACTTTGTCTGCATCTCACTCCCAAAGCATTCAAGTTCCTGTTTCTGAGTGTGAAGAAGACTTTACAAGATAATTACATACAGTATTAAATAGCGCTGTTATGGGAAGTGAAGGGGTCGTGCTGGGAATTTCCAAGAGGCAGAAAGAGAAGCAAGGGTATTCTCACCTTTTAAAAGGCTATAACCTAACTAGAGAGAACCGTGTCCACCAATTTCACTTGCAGTGTCTCTGCACAATTCTGACACCTGCTTAAGATCTGCGGACAATCAATATATAGAAAGGTAATCAGCTAAAAGACATTATGTCAATGACACAAGAAATTAGAACTGAGATATGCTGGGACATTCTCCAGTCAGCCACCAATGACCATAAACTGTTAGTAATTCATGCTTATTTGTCTGTCTTCGGTGAAATGCATTGGCCAGCTTCTAGCAGGCAGGTGTGTATCGCAGCACAGCAGACACACTTAGATTGCTCTGCGGGCTCTGTGGATTTAAGCTTCCGTGGCTGTCAGGGCAAATGGTTTTGAGCGATAAATTCACCTTTTTTAGAAACAGGTGCAACTGTGGGTAGCTTCTTACAAGTATACTCCTAAGCTGGAAGCATTATGGAGCTAGAGCCCCCCAAGGATACACAGCTTTATGTGTTCTTATAACAAGTATATGTAATTTACTATAAATGCATTCGTAGAACCATAGAAACGCTCGTGAAACTGGAGAATTTGCTTGGTAACTTGGTGTCGTGGTTTAACCAGGACCTGGTACTTTGTCTCTTTGAGCATGATGTTTATCCTTCAGATGAGTTAGTTTTAATTGTTCTAAAGTGGTGCTTGACAAGACATACTAAAAAATTATTAGTGCTGTGTCTTTAATCTTCCTCTTCTTCTTCTCATTTATAATTTCTCCTCTTGCACTGTCTGGCTATGTATCTGAGAGCTACCAGGTTTACCATGAAATTCTTGTTTACACTTGGCTTTATGATGGAGACATTCAGCCTTATGAGTAATAAGCTCATTAAGCCTAGTTTGCATCAGCCTAAGCTGCTTTAACTCTAAGCCATGGAGATGCCTTTTGTGAGGGGCTCTCCAATCCCACAATGTGTTCCTTTAGAGCCTTAATTTTGTCAATTTTCTGTGTGGTTTTTTCACCTACTCAAAAGGCAATTATCAACCTTGTTCCGGGAGACTTTTGGAGCCTTCTGACAGGTTAAGGAAAGTATTTCTATATTAAGATTTTGATCCTGGAATTTCAACAGATGATGATAAATGTAACTAAAAGTGATTAAATTAGTCTGCTGTGCTGGCCTTATGGACTCAGAGTAAAGGCCAGTATTAGGCAGGCAGAGGAACCCAAGCTTAGTGCTTGGATTTGTTTGGTGGGATTTTTTTAGTTTGTTTACTCACTAGAGAAAATCAGAATGTATTAATGTATTCAGAGCTGGCTACTGCTTCAACCTGTTTACAGCTATCTTATATAAAAGAAGAACAATATTTTAAACTGGAGGTGGCTCCACATGGTAAGACCAAATGTGTTTCCTAACCCTGCCCTAAACCTACTGAAAAGCTGGTGTGGGACTTGACTTTTTTTTTTTTTTTTACCCTTAGCTGCAGGGATGCGTTAAAATCTGTATTACCTGTTAATACACACACCCACTTGCTTATGAGTGGTATTTGCATCAACACACATTTGTTTCCCAGTCCTGATGTTTTACTAGGCACAAAATATATGAATAAAATTACTGCTTAATTTTCTAGCTTTTCCACAGGATTCAGATTAGTGTCCTTGTAATAAGAGATTTGTGACATCTTATGCATTATTAATACTAGCTTGTATTCCAATTTGATTTTTGGATAAATTTGTCCTTGATGTAGGTCTGTTAAAGACTAATTTGTTACACTGAAAGTTCAGGCATACATCAGAGTTTAGGATATGCCATCATCTTGCAGGGTAGGCAGGTAAATTCTGTGCCTACCATAGGCTTTCACTGGCCTCTTTGGAGAGCCTTCCATGTTGTCATAACCTAGAATTGTCCAGATTGTCACAAATCTTTCCTCTTTTTCTCTTGCAGTCTTCTAGTAAATTCCTTACTCTGTCAAAAAAACCCTCAAAAAACCTGTGTGAAAAATTGACTTGTAACCTTAGAAATACTACAAGTCAGTTGTAGTTACCCGTCATGCTTTTCTTTCCTTTTTACAATCTCCTACTACTAATTTTCTGTAAAATGCTAATTTCCAGTCACAAACGTATTTGGAGACTAATTATTTGAGTAGTTATTACTGCCGTGCACACGAGCAGTGCTACTCAGCAAATGTTGAATTCTCAATATTGTTGTCAATACTGTGTATGATTTTCTTTGCAGCCTCAATTGGATAAGTTGTCAGGGTTCATGTGCTATTGTGGAGTGGTGCTAATCCACAGTTCCTCCTTCTAGATGGATGGAAATGCCCTGCTTGTTAAGCCTTAAAATGCTTTGGGATCCCTTGAAATGAAAAGAATCATATAAAAATGCGATGCATGTTATTAGATGTTTGTAAGAGTTCAAGAATGTGTTGCGTTTCGGAAGAATTCAGAAGATTATAGGAGCAGGTTCTACTTTGATAAATTATAAAAATGACTGTGGATGACTCACAGCTCAGTTATAATTATTCCCAGTGCTAATTATGTGTCAGAATTATCTGAAACGCTGTGTCAGACATGGCTTGCATAGGCATTACCTGTGTAATTATGAAAGTGCGCTTCTTCCAGTGTAAACTTACTGAGGGCTCTACTCCACAAATCTTTCCTTTTGAGGGTTCCTTTCTCACCCAAGCAGGCCCTATGATTTCAAGGAAACTAATTAATCAGGGTAGGGATGTTCATGACAAGCTTTTAAACTATTTTTGTAATTTTACCCTGTGGGGAAAAACTTGAAAATACTTTACAGAAAAGCTTGTGAAGTATTTATTCCTCACAATCCTTCAGTACTCACTGCAGACATCTGAGGACAAAATATATGTTTGTCTGCTGATTTATAGCCCATGAGAATTTATCCCATCTCATGCAAAGATGTTTTAAGACTGTCTTTTTTTTTTTTTTCCCCTCCCCCAGCTTCTGGAAAAAACCAACAATATGTTTGAGGAGTCTGATTCTGCAGCTACGAAAAGTCCTTTGCATTTAGCTGTAAGTATGAGACGTGTGAAGTGTTGATCATTATCTCCTAGAATAATTCCTTAATCTCTGTCTTTGAAGCAGGTTTAATCATAGACTTGTTTTGAAAAAGCTGGGAAGGGATGTAGGCCTAGATGTAACAAAACCAGGTTCTGGGCTGGAATCGTTAATTAAGTTTTTGAAGCTCTTGGTTCTTATCGACTCTAACACTCAGGTAAGAAGAAGACACAGACACTGAAGTGAAATTAAATGGAAAGTTGCAACTTTTATTTATAACTAGTTTATAAATTTGGGGCTGGAGCTTGAGCCTATGGCTTTGGTCATGGAATGGGATACTCTGATGTTCTCCTGGAGATGTACAGAGTGCAAAAAACTGTCTGGTACACAGCAAGGTGTGGGAAAGCATGCTTAAACCCCAGCATTGCCCTGGGAGCATACCACGGAAACGGTGCTATCAAAAGGGGATCCAGCATATGTGGGCCTCAGAGATCACAATAGCTCCCCTTTCCCAAGAGCTCAAGATTCATGATCCCTCTTCCCAGTTTTGAGCAGAATCACAGAATAGTTGAGGTCGACATGGACATCTGGAGATCAGCTAGTCCCACCTCCGTGCTAAAAGCAGAGTCATCTAGAGCAGGTTTTCTCAGGGCCATGCCCCATCACATTTTTAATATCTCCAAGCATGGAGAGTTCACAGCCTCCAGGCAATCTATTCCAATGTCTGACCACCATCACAGTAAAAATGGGGTGTTTTTTTGCATTAAATGGACTTTCCCATGTTTGAATTTGGGCCCATTGCCTCGTCTTGTCACTGGGCACCCCTGAGAAGAGTCTGGCTCTGTCTTCTTTGATCCCCCATCAGGTGTTTCTACACATTGATAAGACCCCCCCGAGCATTTTCTTTTTGAGGCTGAACAGTCCCAGCTCTCTCAGCCTCTCCTCATACGTCTTTCACAAACTGGCTCTTCACTGAATATCCAAACTCACCATGAAGCTGCCCCCCTTTTGAAAGGGAAGCAACTTGCTTACGTGAAAATAGGGGCAATTTTTAGTCCTGTAGCGATCATATCTCTGTTTCCCAGTCAGCCAGAACAGCTCTGACCTGAGGTTTGAATTATCCACGCGTAATCTGAGGGAACAAGAGCCAAAACAGTTGGCTTAAAAGACCGAGTTTGTCACTGAACTCTTCTCCCCATCTTTTTTTCTGCAATTTGAAGACTGCAGGAAGGAGAGTGTCACTCCCAAGCCCATAGAGGAGTTACAACCTGCACTATCACCAGCACAAATTCCTGTGCTGGGAAGGGACTTGCCCTGCAGCTGGCCAGACAGCAAACTCATTTCCTCTCTGGTCCCTCTTGGGCAGACTCCTTACAAGGATACTGCCAGTGGCTCTCCCTCTTGTATCTGTTGCTGGTTAACAACAGTTCATTCACCTGAGACATCCCAAACCCACAGTTTAAAACTAAAAAAGCTTACATAAAACATCACTATTTCACAGTTCGATTGCAGCTATCCAGGAGTGTCTCTGACATTTGTCTCAAACCCTCCCATATATTGGGGTGCCTGTGGTCATCCTTCCCCAGGTCTAGCAGTGTCCACACAAATGTCTCCACACATGGATCCAGAAAGCCAGCAACCTACACCAAAACAGGAAGTCCCGTCAAATGGTTGATACGGTGCAGTGGCCAAGGCCTCTGCTTACAGATGTTTGACCCTAGAATGGAAATAGGATTTAGAAACAAGGGGTGGACTAGCAGCCAACAAAAAACTGACCTGCCATTCTCTGAGGCTATGGTGCATGATTATGGTGATGGTTGAGTAAATGACTGCACAAGGCAAACCAACAGGAAGAAAAAATCAACTTTAGTATCCTTTCAAGGAGAGGATGGGCTATACAGTCTGCATGGCACCTTCAAGATAGGTACCTCATATTGTCAAAGATCAGGTTGTTGCTAGTTGTTTTCTAAGTAAAACTGTCATGAAGAAGAAAAGCTGGCAGCTGTGCTGGAGTGTTTTCTGAGATATGGGTTCCCTGTGCCCTAATCTCCCCTTGCTTTTCTTTTTCTGCTTTTGCCTTTGCTTTCCTTAAGTAGTTGTCTTGGTCTAACAGGGAAACAACTGTTTGTCCCCTGCACTGTCCTGTTCTTTTGAACTTTTGACAACGGTCAATAGGAGCAAGCTGCTGCCACCACTACTTAACCTTGAATTTCAGTGGCTCTTTGGTTCCTTCATGTTTGCATTTCTCTTCTGTTTTCATTAATTGCTTCAACTCTGGTAATACTAATTATACATTCATGTATAAATAAAAAGGATGTTCTCTGTGAGTCTGACAGTAAGGAGAGGAGGGCAGTCCCTACAAAGCTGAATGAAATGTTTCTAGTTTCTGGGGCTACCCACTGGGTTTTTGCAATCACACCTGTGTTTGTGCTGTTGGCCCAAACGTGCCTGTAGGTCTGGAAGTGCATCCGCTTGTCCACTGTAGTTGTTCTACCACATGATCCTACTGGCAGGAGTACTCCATGAAGCATCAGCTATAAAGAGCAGGTCAAGTTTGTGTTTGTATTTGCACAAAAATCTGGTTTGAGAACTGCTTTCGTTTAGTTGGAGACCAGCAGATGTGTTGAATACAGCACCCAGTTAGGTGATAATCCATGCGACCTCTGACCAGCATCACTAGTGAATGTAGTTTTTGAAGCAAACATTTCCCTGAAAGATACTGTAGAATGTGAAAAATGAATTGTTGATTCACCTGTGCTGAATCAGCAAATTATTGCCTGAAATTCCTCACCTTGGGTTGTATTCGAAGGTTAGAGCAAATCAACAGTCATAATTTCTGTCCTTAAACACTAGGAATTTTTTAGTTTCTTGGCTACAGTGTAATTTGGGAAAATCCTTTCAAGTTGAAGAGAGAGTCGTAAGGAATCAAGAAAACTGTGTCATTTCTACTGTGTTTCGGAGACTGTGACAATGATGGATTTTATTCACGTTTTATGTGAAAGTCTTTGAAAGACAAGAGTTGTGTTCTTTACATGACTCATTTCATATTTCTAGGCCTATAATGGTCATCATCAAGCCTTGGAGGTACTTCTCCAGTCTCTGGTAGACCTGGATATTAAGGACGAGAAGGGACGCACCGCTTTGGACCTGGCTGCGTTTAAAGGACATGCAGAGTGTGTGGAAGCTCTCATCAGCCAGGGTGCTTCTGTCACTGTAAAAGACAATGTCACCAAAAGGACCCCCCTCCACGCCTCAGGTGAGTCTGATCTTATGTTACTCTTGTGGTACAAACGCTAAAACACAGAAGCAGTTACCTTTACCTACCTACTATCCCTATGCACATTTCTTCTAAACAACAGAAGGAGGAGATTTTGACTTGTACTGAGGACTGCTGCTTGTTTGCTGAGGTCCTACAGTTAACTCTTACCTTTCATTTCCTTGGCCTTTTTTCCTCTGCCCCAGTGGTTCAGTCCTCCCTCACAGAGAATGCCATGTTTTTTCACACCACTACTGCTCTGCCCTTACCCGCTTGCCTCTACTTTACCTTACCTCTCTATTACCACCTGCTCTTTAAGATGTGTGATGTTTCCCCTACGACATCTTCTCTTAATGGTTCCTCGGCCAAAAAATCAGGGGAAGAGAGAACACGTGCCTCACTGCTTCTCCTAAGGATGAAAGGTTGAAAATACAGGTAGGCTCTCATTGGTGATGAAACTATCCTGGTGTTCAAAAATTTCAACCTTTTGCAGGGGCAACACTACAGAAATTCACCCCCTTTCAGACATTATCCTCCTCCTGAGCTAGCTTGTGAACTTGCTGTGGCTGGGAGTCTGCTCCATTCCTCATGTGTTGAGTGTTAATTATGCAACGTGCATAATTAAATGGAAAATGTAGAATTTGGCATTTATTTAAAGGTTATTATTTAATATGTGCCTGTCAGATAAATACGCAGGGGTGCCAAAGGGAACGTTTCTCCTCTGGCTGTTCATCGAGGGGCTCAGTACAGCATAGCAGTGACCTCTAGTGGGAAGTAAAATTAATACTTCATTGGATAACATTATCAGGGCCAGACTTAATTGTCTTTCTGTTTATCTTCAAATTTTGCTTAGATTAAAATGCACATACATCCTCTAATACCAGTTTGCTCTCTCTGTGTGATCATATAAGTGCAACCTGGAAGCATAAGGTCAAATAGACTATTAGCAATTTTGTGTGCAGTACTGAAGAAAATGTGCATAATAGATCTTCACAGCATACTAAAAAATGCTTTCTGCCTTCTTAAATTTTGCATCAGAACTGAGTACATTACTCCCCAATAAACTAATGATATAGAGATGTGCTACCGGAGCTTACATATCAGAAGTTTGAGACCAGAATTCAGTGAGAGGGGGTTTTAGTTGTTTTTGATAAAAACACCAAATAGTAAATCCAGCTGATCCTCATCCTGTTAAAACTGTTGGTTTAATTAATTTAAATCAAGATCAGTGCCGCCACAAAACTGGAGCTGTGTTGGTCAAGACAGTCACTTCAAACATAGCTTGGGGTCTGAATGATGAACAAGGTGTGACTTTGTCTGGTACCTCATCACTAGAGCAATGATTTTGCATTTATTTAAAAACATAGGTTTCTTGTTGTCACAGCTGAACTTGTAACGGTTCTGCAGTACTGAGAAAAGTAAATGGTAACAAAGCCATATTTTTGTTAGCAGCTCGGACTTAAAATATGGATTTGTTGAATAGAATTGAGTAAATTTGTTGAATAGAAGATGTTACTTTAATATGCACATTTCTTACCTTCATACAAATTCTGATTGGGGGGGGGGAGTGTCCCCTATTTTAATTTCTTTTTTAATTGCCCCCATCACGGTCGTATGAGTGCCTTCCATGTAAAACCAGGAGGAAGATTCATTGTAGACTTTTCTAGTCTGTGATATTTTTTTGCTTAAAAAAAAATTAAATTTTAAATTTTAAAAGATTAAAAAAAATCTTCCAAGGATACAAGCAAAATGTTCTTTAAATCTGCAGTGAAACAAAGTAAGTTAGGTGTGTATTTAAAAAAGGGAGAAAAAAAAGGCAAGAAGCGAGAAAGCCCTACCCACAGGAATGAGACACTAAAGAAAACATGTACCTTAAGAAGGGAAAATACTGCAGAGACAGGTTGAATATTTGAACTCTTAGTAAAGGAAATTTATCACTGTCATGAATTTGGAGGCTTTAAAATGGGAGATAAGTGCACTTTGGGTAAATAGCCATTAAGACAACGTTTAGATCAAGAGCTATGCAGAGTTCTGTGGAAATTAGCTCTGGAATAAAGCTTCTATCTCCAACTATTATGAAAAGCCACTTGCAATCTGATGATTTTTATTATGCTGTTTCGTAACAGAACATTTTGTTTAGGAGTGTTTTAGCAAAGAACGATGCCACCTACGGGAAACTCTGCATGGTGCCACTGCAGTATCCAGCGTTTTTTATTTGCAATGCAAGTGTAAGAGGTAAATTGGCATATTTTGAGAAATCAAACAGAATTCTTGCTGAATTAATCCCTTGAGTGACAGCGCGCTTTTGCACACACGAAAGTGAATACTTGCGTGTGTTTCCTGTCCATTGGAAAGAAACAAGGAGGCACATGTGCCCATCCCCTTAAGCGTGTTTGCCTTCAGTCCTTCTAATTACACACGCACAATTGCAGAACACAACAGTTAAGGAGACCTGAAGTGGGGGATTGGTCAGAGGGGGATTCTGCAGAGCATCGTCCAGTAAAGGGATTTGTAACTTCAGTAGAGAAATCACCTAATGAAGTATTTCTTTTTTCTGTCTGTCTCTCCCCCTCAGGGAATAGACTTCCTCTGACCTCATAATATGGAGAATTTCCTTAGCCTAAATTATATGTTCCCTGTATAATTTTATTACCACCAGTCTTTCCTCTGGCTAGCTTGGGGAATCCATTGCAAATGTTCCCCTAGCGTTAGTGTTGTAGCTCTGTTGGCAAAACTAATGTTCCCTGCAGGTTCTGTAATGCTTAGCGATCGCTGGGTCAGCTCCTAAGAGTTTCTGGGAGTATCTGTTCTAAAACTCATTTACCAAAATCCTTTTCAGACGTCGGTGTGAACAAGTTACGGTTTCTCTTCCTCCTGTCGGAAGAAAGAACAGATTTCCCCGCCCCCCCCCAAGCCAGTGACTCATCAGCCCCACAGAACTGTTTACATGTTATGTATATGGCATTACTTAGTGGTAAATAACTAAAAATGTCTTTATTTTTCTGGGTAGAGCAACTAAGATTATTTTTGGATGAGTGATTTAAATGTGATGATGTCCGCCCATTTCTCCGCCAGAATGATGTGACATAGGTGGTGTCCAAGGGTTTTGCCTCAGCCCACAGGGTGTAGGCAGTGCGAATGCATGACTTGCTGTAATAAGAACACAATCTATATCTACTGAGTACAGGAATTATTGTTTTTCAAAGAAGAAAATACTGTTCTGTTCATCCCATGAGTTGTATAAAGCTGAAGCCTTTAAGCCAGCTGACACACAGGTGAGTTTCCAGTATCAGGCCCTGCAAAACTTAATAACTCAGAGCTGTTTTCCAACAGCAGTGGGTTACATTTTAAAAAGCAAACCCCATTTTTGAGAAGTGGCTGTGGCTTCCAAAAATGTTAAGCTAGAAAAAATGGAAAAAACCAAAAGGAATTTTAGTCTCTGGTGGTATGTGCTGTTATGAATATGACATTTGTATCGTTGGTCATTCGTTGCAGATGCTTCTTTTTTCATGGCAGCGCTGAAGCACTTGCTTGTGCAGTGCACACAAAATTAATGAGCCTTGCCGACGTACTTCCTACTGCGTTCCAAATCTGGTCGCAGAAAGCCTCGTCTGCCTGCTCGGTCTGAGGGATTTTGAAAGGCTGTCTGGTTTAGCAGAAATCTTCTCAGTGAAAATCACGATTTCTGTTTTACTCATTTGGGATTTCTGTATGTAAGAGAACTAATCCTCGTCTTACTGAGGTCAGGGAAAAAACAGCTCACCATTTCATCGGCACAAGTTAAAGGACAATTGTGGGAATATTAATTTCTTATACTGTGGAATATTTTCCTTCTTTATAAGGAAATTTCTTATCCATCCTCATTACAATGGAAAAGTATCTGAAATTAAACATGTTTTAATTAAACATACTTTTTTTCTTTCTAGTCATTAATGGCCATACACCTTGTTTACGGTTGTTGCTAGAAGTTGCAGACAACCCTGACGTGACAGACGCCAAAGGACAGTAAGTTTTCTTTGTGATGGTTTTTTTTTCAGCTCTGTGATTCAAATAGCATCTCGGATTTCTTACAAAAAAAGCATTTATTGAAAATACTGTATTTCCTGCACGTCTCCTTATAGAATTTGGCAGAGATTACAAAGTACACATTCAGTTGATCTAAGCCATGTGGAAAGGATTATTCATTAATCTTAGCCTTTGCTTCATACTTTAAACAATTCTTCATAGATGCTGAGGGCCAGATTCAAGAAAAACGAACAAGCTCTTGAGATGTTTCTATAGAGAGTCTTTTTCTTTCTAGAACATTGATATTTCAGGGTTTACTTGGTATATTAGGCTGGTGCAGTGAGACAGAATGTTTATTTGAGGTGACACATGAATCTGGGATGTTCCCACAAAAATTTTACTTCTCGTTAAATGACAGGTACAGAGGGAGAATTAAGTATATTTTTAAAGTGAAAATGTGAATGGTTTAAAAACCTCATTTGAGGTGCCTAGAACATATCTGACTACACATATAATTTTAAATGGTATTAGTCTTATCTAAAAATAGAAGGAGAATAGATCCCTTTCAGAAAAAAATGGAAGATAAGTTAGTCCAAATTTTGGCTTGAATAGTTTCCTCATGTCCCTTCATCCCCTTTATGCAATTGCGCAGCATTTGCAAAAAAAATGCTTTGGGTTTGTTGTCATCTGGGTAACTAGGAGGGACATTCATTCACAACACTTGGGCATTGCAAAGCTCGTGTTGCTGGACAGTAATTGTAGGTTATTAAAGGAACAGATTGTCTTGAACGATGTTGCTCTGTAAACTGCTTACAAATGAGTTTCTTTCTATTTCAGTCATGGTAGTCGGTTGTTAAACATCTTAATAATTTCATACAAAAGGTCTTCACTTGGGTGTTATATAGCTGAGTATGGTGAAAGAAACAGGTTTGTGGGTAGGAACGGAGGGGAATGCAAGGCTTCCCGATTTCTCTATTCCTGTAAGTTAGCAGTGGTAAGTAGTATGTCATTTTATAGCTGTGACTGGTTTGTTTTTGTTTTTTCTAGAACCCCACTAATGCTTGCCGTGGCATATGGGCACATTGATGCTGTTTCTTTGTTACTTGAAAAAGACGCATCTGTAGATGCAGCTGATCTCCTGGGATGCACAGCTTTACATCGAGGGGTGATGTATTTTTTAGGATTCTTAATTATTTGTTTTACTGTGACTACAACTCACTTATAAATACAGGGATATTGAATGTAGGGAATACTGTAAGTGATTGGAAACCTGACCAAGCACAATCAATGAGGTAAAAAGCAGGATGGATCTACTCTCAGTAATGCTCTGCTTTTGACTTTATTTCACGTTCCCTTTCATTCATTAGATAAAATACCGATTAGACCGATTTTTCTTGGCTCTAGACACTTTACAATAGCGGTTATTATTCGTCTAACGGAGCACCTTAGGAATTCTGAAAATAATTTCTTTAAAAGAACTGCCCAGCAGTTATTTTCATTTTTCTTGGGGAGGACGGTGTAAATAAGTAAGCCTTAAGTTTTGATCTGGAGGCAGTGAAACTCGAGGCAGATCTAATCTTTTCTAGGAGTCCGCTTCTTACCCAATGTGAAGTTGATGCAAGAGGTGATATTTATACAGCACTCTATGATAACTGCAGTGAGCAGTTCAGCTTAGGAGTCCAACACCTTTCCATAATAAAAGCTATGGCATAAAATTTCTGTTCTGTATCGATAGCAATACATGAACACGACCAAGATACCAAAGCTAACCTATGTACGATACAGAGGTCACTGATAGTAGCTGGCCAGCTGTTAAAGCAGCTTTTCCTATTTCTGATGATATTCTTGATCCTTTTTTTCCTCAGTTCTTCTCTCACATTTGTACATGGTTTTGAGAAGCCAGACTCCGGTTTTCTGAACCTCACCCCTTGTTCATCTGTTTCCTTAGTCTTAAACTCCTCCTTGCTTTTGTGCCTCACTTAGTCGAGTCTCTTCCACAGGCTAGGAATCAATGCCTTTGAAAGGCAGTACCAAATGCATTTCAGTGTATCAGTTATCATAGGTACTCACGGGAGCACAGGAGCTTTCATCTCTGCCTTCTGAATCCCATCCGGGCCGTTTCATGTTCACAGGCATCAATCATATTCCGTATTTCCTGGGCAAGAATCTGTACTATGTCAACCTCTTTTTACTCATTTCTTTGTTATCAGATTATGACTGGGCATGAAGAGTGTGTTCAGATGCTGTTAGAGAAAGAAGTATCTATTTTATGTAAAGACGCCAGAGGCAGAACGCCTCTGCACTTTGCAGCAGCTCGGGGTCATGCCACTTGGCTGAGTGAATTACTGCAGATAGCACTTTCAGAGGAAGACTGCAGTTTGAAAGATAATCAAGGTTATACACCGCTGCACTGGGCTTGTTACAACGGTAAGTTTCTCTCTGTGGATTTTTGCCAAGTTCAAATGTGGCCTCAGTTTTAGGGAAACACGGTTAGGGAAAAGCAGCCTAACACTTTGTGAAGCTTGAAATGAAGAGGCAACTTATCTCCCCTCTACTTGGCTTGCTCTCTGTAGTTAGCATTCGCTATGTTCACCCTTCAGTTCAGAAGCCAGGGAAATTCCAGCAATACTTCCCAGTGGCTTTGCAGCTCGTTTGCTCCCAGTCACAGGAGGCCAGGGTGAAATTCTGGTTTTACTGACGTCAGCGATGAAATTCTCATTGATTTCTGTGGGGCCAGGAATGCTCCTTTGAGGTGTCACCTTCTAATTTATTGATGCAAGAGACCATGTGAATAGATGATATTCTGAACTGAACTGATTATTCTAAACTGGATAATCTGAACTTGTTGCTTAATACAAGGATAAAGCTTCCTAATACCATCATTTAAGACCATCTTTGGAGACGTGTAAGGCAACATACATAACATTCCATAAAAAAGAGACTTTTTTTTCCTTTCCTTTTTTTCAGTAAGTGCTAATATTAGTCTGGATCTATCTTGCTGCTGCCATTAAAAAAAAAAAAAATCTGTTTATACTTTTATCACATAAAAGCTTATATACACATTGTGTTCAACTTTGAACTTAGTGCTAAATTCTGATCTGTATAAGCCTAAGAGGAATTAAGTGAATTAGTTGCTTTGTGCAACACTGTGAAACGTCTGATCTCTTATAGGTCATGAAAACTGCATAGAGGTACTATTGGAACAAAAATCTTTCCGCACATTCTGTGGTAATAGCTTCTCTCCATTGCACTGTGCCGTGTAAGTAGAAATCTCCAGTAACAAATGCTTTAGGATATGTCTGGAAGAAGTAGCAGTATGAGAAGAAAGTGGGGTTTTTTTAGATTATTTGCATGAGCAAATAATTTAAAGCTGATCATGAGATTGTGCTTATACTTCTGCTGAAAAAGTGGCAGAATAAAGAGTTTTTGCATAAATTTTGTACATTTAGGCTATTTGTTGAAATTCTGACTTCTAATTAAATAGCTGCATTTCTGCTCCCTTTCTAGTTTCTTTTCCCTTGCTTACAACTACAGACCTATGCCTTTTCTTCACACAGGCTGGAACTTCATAGCTCTTCCATTCTTAGGCCATGACCTGGGCTATAGTGCCTTGGTCCGTGTAAGTATGAGCTTTTGAGGTTCCTTTGAAACCCAGTGGCTGAGAGTTAAGAAATTTGTCAGAACCAAGATGATTCTTTTTTAGCAATAGGAACGAAGCGTTAATGAAGGAAGGATTTGAAACAACAATCTGTGTCATGCTAGAATGGTGTTCTGTGCAGGCCGTATTTTTTCCAAGACAGCCTCAGCTGAATGTTTTCCAGACTGATTTTCTTCATGGTCTTTTTTGCTTCTGAGATAATCTCTATCTTGAAGCTTTGGTACTTCTTACCCAGGTCCTAGCCAAAGGGATCGATCGGTTATAGAGGCAGACTCTGTATCCAAAGTTCTCATATTACCTATGAACAACAAAAAGGTGGTGGCTATTATGAGTTATTCCTCTTCTTCCATGCATGTATTTTATACATATTCCTTATTCCAATAAAGCAGTATGTTTTCATATGGGAAGGATTCTAATAGAGCAAAATCGTAACTTTTCATAATGCAATTGCAAATGCATTTTTTTTAAAATGCAAGATTACTTTAGTTTGTAGGACCTAACATGCCTATTAAAACATGTAAGCCATCAGAAGAGTAAGGAATTAAGCACTGAAAAAACAAATGCAAACCTTCCTAATATCTGCCAACAATTGGGATGACTGTATTCTATTCTATGTTCTATTAGAAGAATGAATGTCTTCCAGAAGTAATGATAGGAGTTACTATTGTGTAGGCTTCCCTTCTACAGTCCACATCATTGGAAAGTAGAAAAGTAATTTATCATGTATCAAACTTTGAAATTATAAGAACCCCAATATATTAGAGAAATAAAAGCATATCTACAGCACTGTTTTTACTCTGCTTAAAATAAAATCATTTGTGGCTGAAACATAGTCTTTGAAATCTGAATTTCTAGTGATGGCTTTGAATTTTTTTTGTCAATATTTATATTCTTTTAAACTAGTATGTAATTCTCAAACCCATTAAAAATGTGCGCAACTTAAAAATGCATGCAAATTTAAAATGAAAACAGCTGCTAATCCAGCGTGGATGTTTGTTAGCTATGCTATATGTCCAATACTGTTACTAAACACTGTTCATTTTCATAATGAAATGAGACAAATTAACAATAACCAGAAAGAGTATTAATTCAGTCCATCCATCAAGGAAAAGTATGAAATGTGTGAGTTGGAAGAGATGTGGGCTTCAGTACCTAAAACATTAGAATTAAGCTTTCTATATGTAGGTATCTATGACTGAGTGCTTTCCAGATCCAGGTGTGTTTAACATTTAGACTAAAGGATTTTAAGGTATTAAGGTTTTAATCCTCAGTTTGTGCTGCACTTTCAATTGCCTTTGTGCATAGCCAACTGCAGGATCAGCTTTGCTTTAGAGACTGAAATTTATAGTAGCAGATGCAGTTTGGTTGAATGGAGAGATGATGAATAATCAGAAATGTGAGAGAAAGCATTACAACAAAGGTATGTTAGGATAATTTATAAATAACCAATAAGAAATATTAATGGGATATTAATGGAAGTAAATTAATACTGGAAAGTCAGAAAAGATGTAGACTTTTTACCTTTTTGAAAATGTCTTTTCCTTGGCAGAATCAATGATCACGAAAACTGTGCATCACTGCTCATTGGAGCTATCGATGCCAGCATTGTCAATTGCAAAGATGACAAAGGAAGGTAATATTTTCTTAAACAAATTGCATTTCATGTTCATGAATCCATCTAGTATTTTTCATGATTCTTTCTGAACCTCTGGAACTAATCCTTATCTGATACGGTTGAACTAAGTCTTGTCATGCTGACTCTTTCAGACAGCAGTTTACACTGCAACAGGGTTAAACGGTGGCTCACTTGAAGCAAGAATACTATGAAGTACTCAGTTTCATAGTACATATGAAAAGAAATACAAAAGAAATAGTATTTTGGTTGTTTAGAACAGCTATGACTATAGGCTGTTTCCCTGAACCAGTTTTCTTTGTTAAATATTTAAACACGTTTATTTTTGCTAAATGGAGTGATACTATGTACACATAGAAAAGTATTTCATTAAAAACTTTAATGTTATGTTAGGGCATACAACTGAAAACATCTATGCAGCAAAATAATACTGATAGAGCAAGAGACATGCATTCAGCCAAATCCTTAATTTGTCCTGTTGATAATCTCCTCACTATGTGTGTGTATATATATATTTTTAATTAAAATTCCTGCAATTCTACAAATTGAATACTCATTGTTTCTATTAATTAAAACAAATTCAAGACCTTCAGTAATGGTGATTACTTGCTCCTAAAAGGGTAAGATCACCTCACCCTTACTGAGAAGCAAAACGTGAAGTAACACTATGAGCTGGGTTGTGTACCAACTATTTTTCATCTCTATTAGTCACACTTCAGACCCAAAATGCCATAGGGAGACAGCAAACGAATTCTAGCGTCTCAGTCTTGTGGAGACTGATAACCTTCAAAGTGGACAGAATTCCTTCTGCCTTTTATAGAAATACTATTATTGTAGCTTGTTGCTGCAGTATTTTTGACTATAACTTAAAATACTTTAGTTTTTTTAAATAATGGATCTGTTCTTTTCTGATAGTTCTTCCCATCTTAGGCTTGTTAAAGAAAACAAAATCAGATGAATAAGAATGAGGGATTGTACTGCTTTTCATATCACGCAGTATGCTCCATTAAAATAAATATGCTGCTCATATGAGATTCTCCACAGTATCTCATCTCCACAGTATCATATCCACCTTATGCTTCCCTTTTTTTAAAGTTTATATTGCACCAGGACAGAGACTGTAGATATTATTTAACTTATTTCAGACGCTGCTACTGTAAAGGTCCCCTGGTGATAACGCAAAGTTTCATAGGGGAAAAAAAAATTAAGAATGTCGTGCACTTTCAGGTTCTTGGGAAGGTAAGTAAACAGGAATATTGTCATTCTTTAGCAACAGCTGTGGTCGTGTTACTTTCACTACAGAAAGCCCCTTCACGCAGCC